GCCCTCCCCTGGCCACTTGGATTTGGTCCCCTGTCCTTCCGGTTGCCCCAAACCTGCTTCCGCCAGTTTACAAATACGTAACTGTTATAGTTTTGCTGTTTGATGTTCCTGCCGTTTGTTTGTTTTGTTTTTTTCCTTTTGCCAAGCTTTGGCAAAAGACATTTGAAAGCAAGCTCATTGAAAAATTGTTGACCTTGTTGCTTACAAGATCATTCAAGAGGCTTTTCAAGCACCACTGCCTCCTGCTGCACACAGTGGGTGGGCCCGTGGTTCAGCCCCACGGGTGAATATACACCCAGCCAAGGAGTCCAATTTCCCAAGAGTGACCGCATTCAGATTGATCCAGTAGACAGGTCCCCTGCTGCCTCCGGACGTTCCTGGTGGCTCACTCAGTCCAGGGACTCCCTCTGGAGCTCCTGAAAGACAAGTCATTAGCTGGAGGTCCTGTTAAGTCACCCAGGCCAGTGGTTACGTTACCTTCGAAGGCCCTAAAGTGCCACCCCAGCTGGTGGTATCGAATGCCTGACTTGCTGCCTAGAAAACAGTCAGGACCTAACCAGCAGATGAAGGCTGGGTCCTGACCCACTGCCATGGATGGAGGCATCGGTCTGTGGCCCCAACTTCCAGAGGACTGGACCCTTAGGTTAAGACCTTGAGATGCAAAGCAATCGAACCTCTTTGGTCTGTGTTTTCTAGATAGGCAGCCAGGAGTCCATCCCTTGGGCCATGATTTTGTGCTGCTTCCTCTCTCTTGGTCCAGATTTGAATAGCAGACGCTAAGGGAGCAGAAACTAGAGTTCTTCTGCAAGCCTCCCTGGGCCCAATGCATTCTAGCGGAGGTAATCCTGGCCATGCATAGCACACTTTCCCTCCCTCCTCTCATACGGCCAGCACCTAACACGTGTAAAGAAGGGGAAATTGGGCCGAGGTCCCCTCGTTCAGGCATTTCTCCTCTTGAGAAACAGTGAAGCCCTTTGTTCCAAATATGTCAAAGACCGTATTAAAAAAAACCCTCTAAAATCCTGGAACAATTCATAAGCCTTTCACCCTAATCGAACTCAAGCACATTAAGATTCCTCCCCCATGTGGGCACTCTTGGACCGCTGGCTCTCTGCTCTCTTGGGATTTCCTGCTCTGTGTTCCATGCTCTGGTTCTGTGTTCCTCTTTAGGTATGCCTTCCAAGTGTTTTCTTCAGTCGCAAACTCACACATGTCCATGTGCAGCCTTGCACATTTTCCAGAGATAGCATGAACTTTTGAGACTGTAATACCTGAAACTTCCCTCTCTCTCATAAAAGTTACTTGGATTTACAAAAGTGTTTCTGCTCCCGCGTGAATTCTTTCAGCACTGTGAAGCAAGAACAGAGGAAACCCACTCCAGAAATCTAATATATATTCCCTGTTGAAGAATAAATACCAAACTAAATGTTTAATCAAAGTTATCCAAACACATAAAATATTTGAATTCAGGAGGCTTTTTATTTTGAAAATGTTATTTGTAGAGATACATATGTAAGCTGCCAAAGTGTAAAATATGAAACCTATAAAGGTCATTGGTAAGATTCTCTGCTACAGCTGTTTAAAAAAAGAAAAATCATCCCAAAATAATATCTTGTGCCCACAGTTATACAACATTAAAATAACATCCCCACCACCACCACACACACACACTTTTGACATTGACTAATTTGTAGCTGTCACACCCTGATGATATTAAATGGTCGCTTCCTTTGTAGAACATGCCCTATGGGGCAGTGATCATTGAAACCTGTAGAGATTGCATACCTTTAGTTAGCAAAGCATTGGCAGAACCACAATGCAAAACAGAAGTTATCAAAGTTAAGAATAATTCAGAGAAATTCTTGAATCTAATAGAAATGTTAATATTAGCGGGGAATATTCTGATAATGCAGTAAAATAGTTAATCAGCTTCTGAATAACTCGTGTGTGTGTGTGTGTGTGTGTGTGTACTTTATATTGGAGCCTAGTGGTTTAGTGGTTATATCTTCGACTGTTAACTGGAATGTCAGCACTTTGAAACCACTTCAGTCACTTGTAGAGAGAAAGATAAGGTTTTCTCCATGAAGAGTTGCAGTCTTGAAAACCCACCAAGGCCATTCTACCTTGTCCAATAAGGTCCCTTGGAGTAGAACTCTACTCAACCACAGTGAGGTTTTTGGGTTCTTATCAGTTTTCTCTTGTTGTTTTTGTTGAACTTTATATTCCTGTTTTTCAAAGATTCCAAATAAAGTATTTGCATTAAAACCCTAACCAACATTTTTATTTTGTTGGATAAAATGGATGTTGGAATGCAGGAGGCATATCATTTTTCATATTACATGTTACTCTTTTGTAGACATATAGAGTACAGCTAGATAGAATGGTTATTAATAATCTTTTCTGCAGTTATTTAATTAACTGATGGTTTTCTTCTTGATAAAAGTATGGTTTGTTTTAGTAAGACTAGGCCGATCTGGCTCCTAAAATGTTACGTTTGTGCGTGATGTGTGTCCATGTGTGCCTTTTACAAAAATTCTCCTTGTCAATAAAATGTCTATCTCTACTGCATCCTTGTAGTAATCTGACTTTTGAAAATGAGCAACAAAAATAGGGTGAAAATATTTTTGATGATTACCACTGATGTACTACTAATGATAGTATTTAAAACAAACAAATCTGTGGATTAGTGAATCAATTAATTAATTAATTAACAAACTAGTTAATTAAAATGTTGTTATCAGTTATGTGCTAGATGTGTAGGTCACTTTTTTGGTGTAGGTATGGATAGGTATATATTGTCGCTGAGTTGATTACAACTCATAGTGAACTTATAGAGCAGAAGGTGTCCCATAGGGCTGTCAAAGTTGGAAATCTTTGTGGTAATGTGATGCCTCATCTTTTTCTGTTGGTGGGTTTGAACCACCTACATTTCAGTTATCCACTGAGCTCATTAACCACTATTCCACCAAGATTCCTTGAGCTAGGTACATAAAAACTGACAAAATCTACACTTTCAATAATCATTCATTAGGAGCCCTGGTGATATAGTGGTTACATATTGGATTGCTAACTGCAAGGTCAACAGTTCAAAGGCATCAACCTCTTCCTGGAAAAAAGAAAATGTGTTCTGATACACCTATAAAGAGTTACAATCTTGGAAACTTGCAGAAGTAGTTCTACCCTGTCTATTAGTGTCACTCTGAGACATCACTGACTCGATGGCAATGAGGTTGTTTTGTTAGTTTGCACATTTATTAGGTTTTCCAGGATACTGATGGTATCTTTGATACCTGGTAACTTCTGCATTATTCTTGACAGATGATTAAGGACTTTAAGAGTATGAAGCTGAAACTAATTAACTACATGCCTTTGTGAACGTTTCTTAACATCTCAAAGACAGTTCTTTTTTCCGTTAAAACAAAAGCAATTATAGAGAGGAATATCTATTGTTTCCTTAAATATTAAAATACTCATGCAGCGAATCTAGCACAAGCATTCTAAAAGGTGAATATGAGTACAGCAATGTTCTGAAATGTTAATATTTACATGTGATGGTGACATTAGGGAAAGCATAAAGATTTTAACATTATTGTGACTGAGGAAAAAATACTGAGAAGGATAATGACAAGCCTATAAACTCTTTTACTGTGGACAAAATTCTTCTATATCCTTATGAAGTGGGTAAATTGTTAGACAGAATAGTAAACTGTATGAAATTAGCTAATATGAAATATTTTTATATGATTAGATTTGAACCCGCCTTATCTTTTTGGTGTATTTGTTTAAAGAGTTTAATTCATATATAATTGCTAAGTAGACTGAATAGTGACTGAGGGGGGTTGTCTCCCCACTACCTGCATAAAAGGACTGCAGAGAAATCAGGCCCCCTTTAAATACCTATGGAAAAATCCAAACTGAGCATGCACAGC